ACCCTGAGAACAGATCCGGCTCTTAAATTAACTTAAAACAGTGTTTAAATGATCATTCTCCTCTTCCTGTATCTCTCACTTTCTCCTTTTCCTCCTGTATCCCAGTCTTGATTGGTTGAAAAATACATAGATTTATATAGGTGTGTCTGTCTGTGCATGCGTGTGTTTGCGTGTGTGTTTCAGAGGTAGATTGTACTAAGGAACATGCAACATTTGATGATTAGACATGGTAACAGATGTAAAGAATCTTGTCCTGCCCAGCCAGTATGAATCAGTGGTTGAGCATTGATCTATGAGCCAGGAGGTCACAATTCAATTCCACGTCAGGCACATGCCCAGGTTGCGGGCTCAGTCCCCAGTGGGAGGCATGCAGGATGCTGCCAATCAGTGATTCTTGTCTCATCATTGATGTCTCTATCTCTCTCTCCCTTTCCCTTCCTCTCTGAAATGAAAAAATATATATTAACAACAACAACAAAAAGAATGTTGTCTTGCACCACACCAGTTGCTCAGTGGTTAGAATGTCAGCCTGTTGACTGAAGGGTCTTGAGTTTGGTTCTGGTCAAGGGCACATACCTTGGTTATAGGCTCAATCCCTGGCTCCAATTGGGGCTTGAGTGGGAAGCAACCAATTTCTCATATTGCTGTTTCTCCCTCTTTTTTCCCCACTTCCTTTCACTCTTCCCCTTAAAAAAAAAAAATCAATGGAAAATATCCTCTGGTGAGGATTAGCAACACACACAAAAAGGGATGTTGTCCTGCACAGAATCACAGTTTTCTTCCTGCCCTTATGAAGCAGCTGCCAGGACTGTCCTCATTTTCCAAGTGGAGAATTGCAGCTTAAAGGGGGGAAATAACCCAGATCACCTGGATTTGAAGGCAGATCTACTGAGGCCAGATGTCAGAATGCTGACATCTGATTGTGTGTCTTGTCCAGGTGGATTATCACTCACTACAGTCCACTTTGGACATCCCAGCTCCAGGGATTAGGATAACAGCTCACTCTCCTGAGGAGAGTGAAGGCATGGTGTTTTGTTTTGTTTTTCTTCCACTTTTGCTTTTAAATCTAACTTTCATATAAACATCAAGTGCATAACTCTTAACTTTTTGGTTCAGTTAAGTTTTACTTTAGTATATACCTGTGTAACTACTGCCCAGCAGGATCTTGGTGCCCTTTTATATAATATTCTGTGTAAGAATCTTTGCCTACCCCAAGGTCATTAAAATGTGTTTTCTTCTAGTAGCTTTGTGATTTTTACTTTCACATTACGGTCTATGGTCCCCAAAGAAATGAGTACAAAAGCCGTGCTGCCTTACCCATAATGGTCCCAACTGAAAACAGCCTGACTCCCTATCCCAGCAGGATGGCTAAATAAATTGTGGCTAATTTGTAAGTGGAACACTGTGCAGCAGGGAACAGGACAGGTGAATACTCTGCACAACATTATGAAGACACCTCACAGGCACAGTATAAAGCAAAAGAAACCAGACACAGAGGAGCACACTCTGTTTGAGTCCATTTAGATTTAGTTCAAAAACAGATGAAAGAAACCAGGGATAGAGCGCTCAGCAGAGCAGGCGAGGAGCACGAGTGCTGACGGGAATGCTCTGGCGGATGTTCTTATTCTTTTAAGAAAGCATTTCCCAGAAGCCCTGTCTACACAGAGTTTGTTCTGGATTGGATTCATCAATGGACTAAGGTCTTGCTATTTCTCCCTGCTGACCTGTCCTTATGTGAGTGCTTCACAGGCATTACTGGGGCAATTCTTCCCAGTGGAAAAGAAACCTCAAGATTCGAACTTCCTTTTAAAACAGAAAAGAGGGTGTGCCCCCATTCCTGATTAGATATACTACCTATTTTCTTTTGCTGAGTCAAGAAGATTGACTTGAAATGGCTTTTTAATGCTTGTTTTAAAAGAGAACTTGATTTTGCAAGAGGAGGTCAACTCTTTATATTGCTCCAAGGAATTATCTGTGTGGCTCATTTGCAATTTTGGATGCTAAAAGCATTGCAATTGAGAGTGGAGCGGTGAGGTTATTCTGGGCCATCTTAATAGCAGTAGGTTAGGAGGGAGCTATGTAAGTGAGAAGCGCGACTGGAGACTGTCCTGAGGATAGGTGCTCTGCCCAGGAAAGGGGCAGTGGGGCCTCTGGGATCTTGCAGGGCATTGCTGGCTTCCGGAGCCCTGGTTACTGCAGCAGCGTAACCATCATTGATCAGCTGTCATAGAAAGCACAGACCTGGTTCAAGTCCTTTATTCTCCAAGTGGACAATATGGGATGGGGAGGGGGTATTGGGCACACCAATCCATGGCTTGTAAAAGGAAGGGCTGACTAATGGTTTCTGAGCTCCTGTCTAACCAATGTTCTTCCATTCTGAGTTCTTGAATGGCTGCTGTCACCCACAACAGGAGCAATAACACAAGAGAAAGTGCAGAGGCCACTAGTGCTGTTTCTAGGACAGGACAGTTGGTCTGATCTGAACGTTTTATAGAATGTTTTAAAGAAAGGCAGGCAAATTGACACCACCCTGATTGTAAAGCAATTTTAAGAATTTAAGAAATTAAAGGATTTTAAGGAAAATGGGCACTCTCCTGGGTGCCACAGAAAAGGATGGAGCTGGAAGTAAGATGGCTATGACTGATGTAAGAGCCCTAGGGCCATGGATATTTGTGTAGGAGGGAGAGCCCTAGGTAAGACCTCCCCTTTTCAGGAGAGGAGGAGGTGCCCTATGGGAGGCCAGTGAGGACCACTGAAAAGCAGGAAGGGGCTCAGGCATCCCCAGAGGGGAGCACTGGCATTAACTGACTGCGCCATGAGAAATGTAGTGTGATTCATCGCATTGGAGATGCTGGCTTTTGTCACTATTAGGGGTTTTTAAGTAATGTGTGTGTTGACATTCCCTGGTTGCAGGTTGCCACAGTCATTTGTCATTGGAGATTTTATCCTCTGGGCTGTTCTTAGCTCATGTAATTTCTAAAAATGCACTGGTCCCTCTCCTGCTTCTGTTTGCCCTCACATGCACCCCGACCAGAGCCAGGGATTGGACCTACTACCCAGGAGCGTGCCCTTGACCAGGAATCAAACCCATGACCTGTCTGTCCGTGGGCTGATGTCCTATCCACTGGGATACCGGCCAGAGCTACATGGTCTTTTTATTTTTATTTTTTTATAATACATTTTTATTGATTTCAGAGAGGAAGGGAGAGGGAGAGAAAGAGATAGAAGCATCAGTGATGAGCCGAAACTGGTTTGGCTCAGTGGATAGAGCGTCAGCCTGTGGACTGAAGGGTCCCGGGTTCGCTTCCGGTCAAGAGCATGTACCTTGGTTGCGGGCACATCCCAAGTGGAGGGTGTGCAGGAGGCAGCTGATTGATGTTTCTCTCTCATCATGTTTCTAACTTTCTATCCCTCTCCCTTCCTCTCTGTAAAAAATCAATAAAATATATTAAAAAAAAAACAAAAAAACAAAGAACATTAAAAAAAAAGAAACATCAGTGATGAGAGAATCATTGATCAGCTGCCTCCTGCATGTCTCCTACTGGGGATTGCACCCACAATGTGGGCATGTGCCCTTTGACTAAAATCAAACCCGGGTCTTTAGTCTGCAGGCCGACGCTCTATCCACTGAGCCAACCCAGTGTTGGCATTTTTAATGGCTCTCCCACATTATTCACTTAGTTTGAATTTACTGAGACCTATAAATCCTTGTCCCTCAGGCTGCTGCTGGGCTCTCTCTCCTCCACCTTATACTTACGATGTTAGTTTTTTTAATTTTATGGCTGGTCCTGACATTGGACTTTGTGGATTTCATCACGTTGGATTAGACTCATCCTTCAGGCCAGATGAGGTCACTTGATATATGTCATCCAGTGTATTTGCTGTCTCGCTTAGCTTAGAGGCTTCTCATAAACTCAATAGGTCTCTGCTTCCCCATCTAATTCCACTGGAAGCTTCTATTCATTATTTGCAATTCTTTGGTTTAAGTCCTCCTTTCTCTTCTTGTTCAAATATTGTGAGAGACCCTAATAGTCGCCTAACCAAACTGCAAGTACATAATGTTAGCATCCGGGGATGCTGGTGGTTTTCATGTGGGGGCAGAATTTATCATCACATTGGCATGCCTGTTTTTATGGTTAAATAGGTCTTAAGGTGTATATTGACATTTGCTGATTGCAAATTACATTAGCCATTTATCATCCAGACTTGACTCTCCGGCCTCTTCTTAACTCGTATAATTTTTTAAATGCACTATCCCTCTCCCGCTTCTGTTTGCCCTCGCAGGGTCATTACTGTGTGTCCCTGGAGGGTGTTAGGCCTGCAGAAAGCTGATGAGATGGCCCTCACATTTTGTCCCCCCAGAATGTTCTCTTGGGAGTTACAGCTTGATTAAAATAATGATATTTTGTGTCCCTGTTGTGTTTACCCATGTGAGCATGACCTTCCATCCGATTGGGCTTATCTCTGCCCCTCCCTCCTTCCCCAAATTGGTTGGTGGTCTGCATGGTCCCGGGCACAGCTGTATTGCTTCTGTACCTGAATGCCATGCACGCAACCTTGGGAGGAGGTGCTGTTAGTCAGCTCTGTGTACAGATGAGGACACCCATAGCCAGAGAGGAGGAATAGACTCTCCCAGTAACTTGTCATTGCTGCAGCGTGCATGTGACAGCAGAAATATGAGTAACGCATCGCTGAGATTAATTGGGGAAATGATATACAGTGTGTTGTTCCCATAGAGATTAATTGGGGAAATGATATACAGTGTGTTGTTCCCATAACCTGCCTGATTCATCTTTCACATCCCCACATGTTCACTTAGTAATACTGAGTCCCTGCTCTGTGCCAGCACTGGGCAGCAGTGGCCCTGGAGACAGATGTGGCCCCTGCACAGATGTGGGTGAGCAATGCCCAATGTCATGGGTGGCACACTGCCCAATACCCACCCTTTGCAAAGAACTTTTAAGAAAAGTCTCCATGTTCTTCTTTCCTTCTTTTGCCAGGTCTACATCCGGATAAAAGATGATGAGTGGAATGTCTACCGGCGGTACACGGAGTTCCGGAGTCTGCACCACAAGTTACAGAGCAAATACCCGCAAGTGAGAGCCTACAACTTCCCACCCAAAAAGGCCATTGGAAACAAGGTACGGTCCCATGTGGAGCCAGGCGGCTGGGCACTGGTGCCCACATTGAGGCTGACTTTCTTTTCCTTCCGTTTATGATTTAAACATGTGATGTCAGGGTTCCTGGGCCTGGGGACCCGAAGGTGTGCGACCCACTGTGGGCTCTTGGCTTCATGCAGGGAGGAATTAATATGGGGGCCAGCAGAGAGGGAAAGAGAGTGTTAGTGAAACAGTGACACAGAGTGGCTGCTCCACAGGCAGAGCAGCCCCCCTAGCGGGTTTACTTCTTTTATTGGGGCTCACTGAATGTAGGGGTAGGGCATTCAGTAAAGGGGAGGAATGTTCAGGATTTTTCTGGAAAGCAGGTGGAGATTTCTTGGAAGAGCCCATCAGCCATTTTGGGTCCTCACATGGGTATTCCCTTCTGATCGTGGTGCGCAGGGTGTGTTGTTTAGGATGCTAACACATTACAGTGAGTGTATAGAGGCTAGGAGTCACCTCTAGGTGAAATTAGTCTCCGTGTTGGATTGAGCATAAGGTTTTAAGCCATAAACCCTTTGAGGGTTAGGCTTACTGTCTGCTTGATAATCCCTGGAAGCCTTATTGGTTATAGCTGTTTCACCACATACCCTATCTCACATGCTCCTATAAACACACAACTCCAAAGCTGGCTAATATAAGAAGAAAAGACAAAAGAAAGTGGTCACCCATGATTTCACCACCTAAAGACAATCACATCCTCTTATGCCTCTAGGGACCCGGTTGGCAAACTTGTTTTCTAGACCAGAGAGTAAATATTTTTGGCTTTGCAAACCACACCACTTCAGCTGAAAATACTCAACTCTGCCCTTATAGTGTGAAAGCAGCCACAGCGTGGACATAACTGGGTGTGTCTGTGTGCCAATAAAACTTTATAAGAATGGGTGGCAGCTGGATTTGGCCTGTGGGTCATAGTTTGTTTACCCCTATTCCGGTCTAAGCAAATATTTCCTAGCTCTTGTCCATGGGAGTTATATGTATTTGGACTTACGCGTGTGGTGTTATTTCCCAAGCAGAGCCTTCTCAAAGAGCTTCTTTTATCATAGGGCCACTGCCCTCGTGAGGCTTCACCATTTATAAGGACATCATTTGTTTCTCACCCTGGAGAAGGGAGGCGCTAGCCTCTTGATTAGTTTTCATTCATTCAGCAAGTGTTTATTGAGCACCGATCATGTGTCGCGGAGCAGGAGGCAAGAACCCAGCACTTCAGAGGACAGGCCCGGGCTTGGCGTAAGGCCCTGTTGAATGTCCGTTCTGGTCCGCTGCTTAGAGTGGCAGTTCCCCATCTTGGCTGCACTTTGGGTCACTTGGGGAGTTTTAAAAACTACTGGGTGGCTCGGTTGGTTGGAGCATTGTCTCCTGCACAAGGGGTGGGGTGAGGGAGTGGGGTCAATTCCTGGTGAGGATGTAAGCAGAAGGTAATCAATGTTTCTCTCTCACATTGATGTTTTTTTCTCTCTCCTTTCCACTCTCTAAATATCAATTTTTTAAAAAAAAGATTTTTTTAAAGTACTGAGATTCGCTTATCCCCTATCCCCATTCTAATTTAATTCATCTGGAGGGAGGTCTAGGTCCCGAGGGGGTTAAAAGTTCTCTGTAATTCCAACATGCAGCCAAGCCTGGGAGTCAGGTAGGCCATGGAGATGCTTCAGCAATCACAATGTACTCATTAGCTTGGCGGGATAGTTCACTCAGACGAGGTAAGGTCATGACTTCTCTCAGGACCTGAGAGAAATTGGGCCCTGTGTAAGAGGGGTTCCTCCACTACCATGGTTCTCAAAGTAGGGATAGCATCACCTGGGAGCATGTTAGAAATACAGATTGTCAGGCTCCACCCAGACCTACAGAAATACGAGCTCTGAGCTGACATCTGGGTGGAGCTAGTGCTTGAGGATGTGTGAGAACCATGAGCAGTCTTGTCCTGACCGAGCCCTTGGCAGATTCCACATGAGACCAATTTCCTAGTTTCTCTCTTGAAGAAGTGGCTTGCTGGGACCAGTTTGGCTCAATGGATAGAGTGTCAGCTTGGGGACTGAAGGGTCCTGGGTTCGATTCAGGTCAAGGGCATGTACCTGGTTGCGGGCATATCCCCAGTAGGGGATGTTCAAGAGGCAGCTGATCGATAACTCTCTCTCATCGATGTTTCTAACTCTCTCTCCCTTTTTCAAGGTACAAAATCAATAAAATATATTAAAAAAAGAAAAAAAAAGAAAAAAGTGGCTTGAAAAAAGTGTCTTAGAATTTCCTCCCTCCACCCCTGTTTTTTTGCGATTAAATTTTTTTTTTACAGTTGATTACTTTCAGGTGTGTATCATCATGATTAGACATTTACCTTATAACTCACTAACTGAACTCCCTGATAAGTCTAGTACTCACCTGGCTCCATACATGCTTATTGAAACCTTATTAACTATATCCCTACACTATACTTTTCATCTCTATGACTGTTTTGTAACTGCCAATTTGTACATCTTAACCTCATCCCACTATCCCCTTCTCATGCAAGCATCAGTCTGCTCTCTGTGTCAGTGAGTTTCTGTTTTGTGTCATTTATTTTAGTTACACGTATAAGTGAAAGTATATAGTGTATGTCTGACTTATTTCACTTAGTGTAATACCCTCTAGGTCTATTCCTGTTGTCACAAATGCCAAGGTTTCGTTCTTATTTATATCTGAATAGGAGAATTGTATATACGTACCACATTTTCTTAATCCATTTCCCTCCTTTCAGTGCAGCTCTGTTTACAAATAAATGAGCCTGGGAATTGGAGGTACCATGGACACTTAGATCACTTCCATATCTTGGATATTGTAAACAATGCTGCAATGAATATAGGGGTGCATATATCTTTTTGAATTACTAGTCTTTTGGCCTTCTTCAGATAATCCCAGATGTGGGATTACTGGGTCATATGGTAGTTCTATTTCTAATTTTTTGAGGAATCTCCATATAGTTTTCTTTTTAAAAAAATAGTATTAAATTGATTGAGGTGACCATTGGTCAACATGAACATATAAGTTTCATCTGTGCTTTTTCTGTGTTACGACTGCCATACTGTTTTCTGTAGTGGCTTTAGCAGTTTACAATCCCAACAGTGCACGAGGGTTCCCTTTCTCTACATCTTCTCCAACATTGTTTATTGATTTATTGATGATAGCCATCAGACAGGTTTGAGGTGATATCTTATTATGGTTTTAATATGCATTTCTCTGGATTTCCTTTAAAGTTTATCTTAGAAAACCAGAGTAAGGGTTTCCATAACCTACTCTCAATACTTGGAAGTTCCTTAGGGAAAGCCGTTTACTGTCATGTTTACATATTCATAGATTGTGTTGTTTAAACTAGATTAGAAATCTAATCACATAAGGATCTGTTATATCTTAATTTACAAAGTTATAGAGCAGTTTTTCTCAAGCCCAAAATTAATGTGTCATTCTATTTTTTTCTGTTGAAGAAAAGTGGAGTTAAGTCCATAAAAAATGGAAGACTTAAAAATTCCACGCTGCTTCATAGCAAGGAGTACAATAATTATTATGAAAAGAGGGGATGGAATTATATGCTGATTTAATCTAATGACTCGTAGGCTCATACAAATCTTGGGACCCATCCAGAATGTCTTAAAATGTCATAAAACAAAACCCTGCCTAACCATCCTGTTATCATTATAAAACATTCTCACTTGCAAAAAGCCTTGCCCCGAAGCAGCCCTCCCATGACCCTCCTTCAGGGCTGGCCTGTCTGCAGCTTGAGGGAAATAAGTCCCAGACTGCCCTGGGCCGCTCACATGGTGAAATGTCTGCATTGTGTGGCCACTTCCTGTGGCTGCTTTCATACATGGCCACACAGTTATGGTCCAAAACAACACAGAATTATTATCTCAGCGTTCTGGCGGACAGAGGCACAAAATTGGTCTCGCGCGGCTCAAATCAATGTGTCGGCAGAGCTTCCTTCTGGAGGCCCCTACCTTCCTTAGCTGTGGCCCTCCTGTGTTGCCACAGCTGCAGTCACATGGTGGGCCTCTGCCTCGGCCTCTGCCAGCACGGTCACGGCCCCTTCTCGGACTCTGGCCCTCGTCCTCTTTTGAGGATCCTGTGGATTTACTCAAAGAATCATGGTTAACTCCTGTCTCAAGATCTTGAACTTCATCACACCTGCAAAGTCCCTTTTGCTTCCTAGGTTAAAGTTCTCACGGGTTCTGGGGTTAGGAGGAGGCCCTCGTTGGGGACCCACATTGCTGAATGCTTTCCTGAAGTGATTCCCTCCCCTCCTTGTAGCTCCTCAAGCCCATAGTTAGGCAAAGCAAACCTACCAAGAACCCCACCAATCCTAAAGACTCTGGGGGCCAGCCTCAGGTTTAGTGGGCTGCAGTCTGGCTGAAATCAAGGACTTCTGGGTGAGCCTGAGGCAGTCTGCTGTCCTGGGCCGGAAACAGGATCTGTGAGTAGGTGTCCCCTGAGGTGGGTCATCCTCATCCCCACTTCAGATTCTCAAGGACAAAGACTGACTTCAATCAGCTTTGGATTTCTTCCTGTGAAATCAGTGCCACTAGAGTAGTGCCTCTCCTCACCTTCCCCTCCCTTCAGTGCAGCTCCGTTCACTAATAAATGAGGTTGGGAAGGAAAGGCACCATCTCCTGGGCTGGCCAGTGAGGTCAAGTGGTACTAAGGCTGCAGCGGGTTCTCAAAGAGGTCTGTGGTCCTGCTCCTGCTGGTGGTCGGGGGAGGAATAAGGGGCGGGGGCTGCCAGTTTCCTCTGCTGCCCAGGAAGCTGGCAGCTCTGGGGCCTCTGCCACCTGCAGCAGCCTGTGCAGCCCCTTAGCCTGTAATTGGCCAGTCATGCCATGATTGTGCTTTGATGCTCTTCCCCAGCATTCATCTACGACATACCTGCTGCTGCCCAGCACAGCTCTGAGGGTTCAGTTGATTCCCAAGTGCAAACTGAGTCAGAATGCAGGACTTCAGTGCCCAGTGGAGCACTCTGC